TTGGTGTGGCTGTGACTGTGGGGTGGGTGTGACGGGGTGTCTGTGTGGAGGGTGGTGTGACGGGGTGTTGGTGTGGGGCATCGCTGTGACAGGGTGTCTGTGTGCGTGGTGGGTGTGACGGGGTGTTTGTGTGGGTGTGACTGGGAGGTGGGTGTGACGGGGTGTCTGTGGGGGGTGGGTGTGATGGGGTGTTGGTGTGGCTGTGACTGTGGGGTGGGTGTGACGGGGTGTCTGTGTGGAGGGTGGGTGTGACGGGGTGTTGGTGTGGGGCATCGCTGTGACAGGGTGTCTGTGTGCGTGGTGGGTGTGACGGGGTGTTGGTGTGGGTGTGACTGGGAGGTGGGTGTGACGGGGTGTCTGTGGGGTGTGTGTGACAGGGTGTAAGTGTGGGGGTGGATGTGATGGGGTGTTGGTGTGGGTGTGATGTGGGGGATGGGTGTGATATGGTGTCTGTGGGGGGGTGGGGGTGTCTGTGTGTGGGGTGGCTGTAACTGGGGGTGGGTGTGACAGGGTGTCGCTGTGGGGTGTGTGTGTGACGTGGTGTTGGTGTTGGGGGTGGGTGTGACGTGGGGGTTGGGTGGGTGTTACGTGGGGGGTGGGTGTGACGTGGGATGTGTGTGGGACTGACGTGGGGGGGTGTGTGGGTGTGATGTGGGGTGGGTGTGACGTGGGGTCTGTGAGGGAGTGACGTGGGGGTGTGTGGGTGTGACGGGGTGCTGGTGTGACTGGGGATGGGTGTGACGGGATGTTGGGGTGGGTGTGACTGGGGTGTGGGAGTGATGTGGGGGGTGTCTGGGTGTGACGTGGGGGGTGTGACGTGGGGTCTGTGAGGGAGTGACGTGGGGTGTGTGTGGGAGTGACGTGGGGGTGTGTGTGGGTGTGACGTGGGTGTGTGTGTGACGGGGTGTTGCTGTGGGGGGTGGGTGTGATGGGGTATTGGTGTGGTATGACTGGGGGGCGGTTGTGATGGGGTGTCTGTGTGGGGGGTGGTTGTGACGCGGTGTCAGTGTGGGTGTGACATGGGGTGTGTGCGTGGGAGTGACGTTGGGTGTGTGTGTGGGAGTGACGTGCGGGGTGGGTGTGACGGGGTGTCGGTGTGGGTGTGACGTGGGGGTGGGTGTCACGTGGGGGTGGGGTGATGGGTGTTGGTGTGACGTGGGGTGTGTGACGGGTGTTGGTGGTCGGGGTGGGAGTGACGTGGGTCTGTGTGGTGTCACGTGGGGT